GATATTTGGGGTGTTCATTCCCAGTGTTCAGGGTGTTCATTCCCAGTGTTCAGGGTGTTCCTTCCCTGTGAGGGATGTTCATGGTGTTCATTCCCAGTGTTCAGGGTGTTCCTTCCCTGTGAGGGATGTTCATGGTGTTCATTCCCCGTGTTCAGGCTGTTCCTCCCCAGCTGGGAATGGCTCTGGCTGTATTTCCACCCAGCTCCAAACATGGGCCTTCCCACCACAAACCCCTTGGATGGGTTCAGGAGTGAAACCAGAGCACCAGAGAGACGAGTTCCCTTTGTGTGGGACTCTCTGTCCCGCTGGAAACGTCCCTCTCCTGCTGCTCCTCCATTCTCTGCTCCCTGGCACTGATTGCATCCAGGCTGGGAATATTTGGAATGTCTGCCTGGCCTTGCTTTTCCAGCTGGGAGTGATTTGTGGCAGGTTTTTGTGTGCCAGAGGCACAGCCCGGGCTGGGCACTGGTTAAATGTGCTCCCAGCTCCAGCCTGTGGAGTGTCCAGCTCATCCCAACACACAGAAAGCTGGAATTGCAGGAGCTGGGTTAAAAATCCAATAATTCAGAAGGACAGAAGGAGCTGGGTTAAAAATCCAATAACTCAGAGGGACAGAAGGAGCTGGAATTGCTGGTGGTGCTCCTGGGGAGCTTTGCTGTGGTTTCCCTGTTGTTGCTTCTCCTGCTTTTCAGGGTGACCACAGGTGGTGCTGGAGCTTAATCATCCCAAGGGATGGCTGAGGAATGTGGTCATGGAGTCATGGAACAACAACCCAAACCATTCCAATAGGGAAGGGACACCTCCCACTATCCCAGGGTGCTCCAACCTGGCCTTGGACATTTCCAGGGATGGGGCAGCCACAGCTTCTCTGCCCAACCTGTGCCAGGGCCTCCCCACCCTCCCAACCAGGAATTCCTTCCCAATATCCCACCTAAATTTCCCTTCTTTCAGTTTGAAGCCACTCCCTGTGTCCTGTCCCTCCATCCCTCATCCCAAATCCCTCTCCAGCTCTCCTGGAGCCCCTTTAGGCCCTGGAAGAGGCTCCAAGGTCTCCCTGGAGCCTTCCCTTCTCCAACCTGGCCTTGGACACTTCCAGGAATGGGGCAGCCACAGCTTCTCTGGGAATTCCATCCCAGCCCCTCCCCACCCTCCCAGGCAGGAATTCCTTCCCAATATCCCACCTAACCCTGCCCTCTGGCAGTTTGAAGCCATTCCCTGCTGTCCTGGCCCTCCAGGCCCTTGGAAACAGTCCCTCTCCCTCTCCATTTATTCCTCCTGTCCTGTGCACCAGGTCAGGGAAGAATCCAGGAATAGTTTGGGTTGGGAGGGACCTTCAGGCTCATCTCATTCCACCCCCTGCCTTGGACCACAGACGAGGCTTTGGATGCTTTTGATGCTTTTCCTTCCCAATCTATTCTTGGCCTTTTTTTTTTTTGGCTTTTCCACTGCAAAAGCTCAGCGTTCAGGTACTGATGGAGATCAGAGACTTGTGAGAAGCTGTTCAGCCCCCAAACTCCATCTGCTTGGGGTTTTTTTCTTGTTGTTTTTTTTTTTTTCTGCTGAACTAAATAAAGGCAGGGAGATAAAAGTCTCTGCTTGGCACCCACTGGAAATAATTCAGCTCGGAACGGGAGCAGGGAGAGCAAAACAAAGGCTTGGAGGAGAATTACATCACCAGCCTGAATGTTTCAAAGCTCCTCCAAGCTGTGCTGCCGAGGTGCAAAGGTGTCACAGGCCCAAAAAGCCTTTCAGGATGCCCAGCTCAGCCCTGCTGTGGGATTAAGAGCCCAATCCTACCTGTTGGAAGCTTAGGGAGAGCCTGGGGGAGGGCACAGCTCCAGGTTCCCTCCCCTGGCACTGCCCCCAGGCTCAGAGCAGGACTTGTGTAAGTCACGGTGAGAGAGAGGAGAAGTGGGGGTTGGAGTGGGCAGTGCCTTAATCCGGGAACTGAAAGGTGTAAACTGAGAATTCCTGGCCTTGGAACAGCCTGTTGGGGGTGGGGAGCGGGGTTTTCATTCCCCAGTTCCAGCTGAAGGGTAAAAAATAATAAAAAAAAAAAGCCCCCAACAAGCCCTCCCACAGCTGGGCAGCTTCAGTTCGTGCCACTCCTCGTGGGGGGTTTCTCCCCTCAAAATAAGGGAGTTTTTGGGGCTTTTTTTCCCGTGGCAGAGAAAAACCTGGGCAGGGAAGGAAGAATCTCACCCTGGATAAAAGCTGATTGACAAAGAGGAGGAGCCAGGGGGAGGTCACAAAAAGTCGTTTTCCACCTTTAGGAGGAAGAAAAAAACACCCAAAAGTGGGGGAAAAAGGAGGCTCTGGGGGGACCTTCTCACTCCCTGACAGGAGGGGGGAGCCAGGGTGGGCTCTGCTCCCAGGGGACAAGGGACAGGACAAGGGGAAATGACCTCAAGGGGAGGTTTAGGTTGGATATTAGGGAATATTTCTCCATGGACAGGGATTTTCGAGGCCTGGGAGTCCCATCCCTGCAGGGATTTACCAGCCCCGTGGATGTGGCTCTTGGGGACGTGGTTGGACTCGAGGATCCTGGAGATCTTTTCCAACCTAAAGGATTCTGTGATTGTACAAAAATAATTGGGCGGGGGGGGGGAGATTTCCCTTCCCAAAATCCAACAAAACCCAGAGTCAGATTCCCCCCGAGGCTCCAGCCAACCCTGCTCTGCGTGGGCTGCTCAGCTCGTTGTGCAAGAGGGGGAAAAATCCTGGAGCAGGAGCTCTTGGCACGTTTCCCACCGTTTGTGCCACTGCAGGTGAGGCCTTTTGGCCCCAGTCAGTGCCTGGGGGAGCTGGGAATTGCTGATTTTTTTTTTTTGTATTTTTGTTTTTCCCTCCAAACGTGCCCCGTGTCACCCTCCCCGTGCTGTCACACACCTGCTGCCTGTTCTCCCCCTCCAGGCTGAAGCTGTGGAGCTGGATGGATTCCAGGCAGACACCGAGGAAGATGAGGAAGATGATGACTGCATGATTGTGGATGTACAGCCAGCAAAAGGTGGGGATGTGAGGGGACAGCAGTGCCTTGGCTGAGCAGGGACAGTGTGCAGCTCAGTGGGGGGGGTTCTGCCCCTTTTTCACCATCCCTTGAGCTTTTCTCTCTCTCCATCTTTCATTCCAAACACTTCTCTGCTTGTTATCATTTTTTTTTCTGGATGCTTCTTTGCTATTTCTGGTCTTCTCTAACCTGCTCCTGCCTTTTCTTTCCCTCCTCCTCCTCCTCCTCCCTCCGACTGCCTAAATAGCACAAAACACTTGTGACTGGCACTCGGCTGCCAGCGTTACCTGTTTGTTTCTGGGAGGAGAAAAGTGAACATTAAAGGGTTTGCACCAGCAGATCCACTCATTACTGGGGAATGTTGCTGCTCCCCGGGGTGCTCAGAGCCCTTCCAAGGTGTGGGTTTTGAGGAACAACGAGGTTGTGCTGAAGGAACAACAGCCAAGCTGGGATCTGCTGCCCTGCCCCTCAAATCCCAGCGGTTTGCTGGTTATCTGTGTCCCAGTTATCCCTTGGAAAAACGGGCTTCAAAGCCCCAGTGGTGCAGTGGATCCGTGCAGGAGGTGGGACGAGGATGTGGAGCAGCTCCTTTGATCTCGGGGAGGTTTTTCAGAGTCGACACCGGGCACGTGACGGGGCTTCAGAACCTCGGAGCTCCTTCCCTGCTGCTCTCCCAAAAGGCTCCTTCCCTGCTGCTCTCCCAGAAGAGCTCCTTCCCTGCTGCTCTCCCACAAGAGCTCTCCCAGCAGCCCTGAGTCCAGCCCAGCAGGGTTTGTGTCGGGCAGCTCCTCCAGACAAAGGCTCTGCACGTGAATTCCGTAGGGTCCGACCCACCCCGGGCAGATCCGGGCTCTCCTTTCTCTCTGGAGCTGCTGCTCCATCCTCTCACCTCCCCAAAAAAAGCCACGCTGGGACTGCCTGCCAAGCAGCCTGGCTTTAATCTCTAAGCTGCTTTTGCCTGATTACCAGGCTCTGAGAGATGAAACCCTGGCCTCGGGTTTGTCACCCCTTGTTCTGGAGGTGCCACTCAGCAGCTTCCCTCCCTCGGGCTCTGGGGACACAAAATGCAGCTGGGTTTGTTCAGCTCAAGGCACTGAAAAGATTAGGAAAATCCCCCTTTTTTTTTTATGGTTGGAGTGATTTTTTTATTATTATTATTTTATTCTGGGTTGGTGATATTAAATCTGAAACCGGTTAAATTTAAATAAATAAATATTAAATTTCAAACCAGTTTTGAAAGGAGGGGCAAGAAGGGGGCTCCCAACAGACCCAGGAAGCTGCGACAGAACAGGGAGGGGATAAATTCTGCTGGATTCATGATATTTAACAACAAAACCACCATGTTTTGTCCTTTGCAGACTCTCCAGCTTCAGAATGCAGTGGTACAAGAGCTGCTCACCAGGACACCAGCAGGGTCAGCCCATCTAATACAATTTGAGACTTAAAACCGCCTACTAACTCCTCTGTATGTATGTAGAACGGATTAGAAAACTTTAAAAACCCTGTGTATCTTCGCCCAAGATACTTGAAAGTATTCCACATTTCTTGTAAAGAGAAGACAGCACTTTGTTCTGCTTCAGCCCAGATGGAAGCTTAAATTTTTATTTTTTTTTTTTTTTTAGTTCTAGCTTTTTTTAGCCCGGTTCTTTTTTTAAAAAAAAAAAACCAACAACAACAAACTGCATATTAATCTGTCCTTAATAAAGCATTATTGAAATTTTGATACTCCTTTGTAATGGAAGGTATCTTAAATTATCTCTGGAAGTAGCTGAGGGATTTTTGGGATAAGCTTATTGTGATGCCACTGGGGGAATGATGACTGTTCATAATGTTGTACAGCGTGGCCTTGGGTATAAATGATGTACAATTATATATGAATTTATGCTCTTGTACCATCCTGTTTGTGGTTTTACTTGCAGCACATTCGGGAAGAGGGGAGGGAAAAAAAAAGCATCTTGTTGCTTTAATTTTGGAATTAATTACAGATTATCAGTCCCTGTTTACATCAGAGCTCGTCTCTGGCCCACGGAAAAACACGAAGATTGAGGTATAAAGGACTAAACTGGCATCAAACTTGATGGGAGAGGGAGCAGACTTGAGTTTTGTGTGATTTGTGGGTTGTTAATCAGTCCCTGGAAAGGCTGGGGGCAGGCTGAGGGTGTTCACGGCCCCACTGGGCACCACCAGCAGCTGGTACTGGTGTCAGGGAAAAGGGGGTCAGGCTGCCCCAGTAACACCAGTGCCAGCCCCAGCCCTGCCTGGCTGGGCATTCCAACCCCGTGACAACGCAGTCAAATAACCTGGAGCAGAGCTGAGTCTTTAAATAATTCCATTTAATCAGACTAAGAGTCACCTTACCCCAATGTGCTCTCTCCCGCAGGAGTTACAGTGCACACGGAAGCCAGAGGGGAAGCTGAGTCCTAAACCCAGCCCCACCGCCGGGCTCAGGGGGGTGATCCAGCCTAGCAGCACTAATCCCTGCTCCCCCACTGCCTCGGGAACACCCTCCTGGAACGTGGTGCTGACCCCCCCTGGGAGCAGTGCGGGAGGTGCCTCGCTGGGTGAGACCCCCCGAGGGAGGGACAGAGCCGGGGCTCCCCCTCTGCACAGCCACCCCACAGCCACCCCTGAGCTCACCCAGCTGGTGGGAAAGGGAGGGAAGAGGCTAAAACCAGCAGCACTGAACCCACGGCCCTTTATTTCAGGGGAGGGTCTGCACCCTGGCCAGGAGCTCCGGCCTCAGGGGGCTCCGGGGCTGCTCCTCTCCCGCTGCCTCGATGTCTGCCATGACTGCTGCGTCCCAGCACAGGCTCAGGAGGGCCGAGGGCACCTGCCACAGGAGAGGCACGTTAGGGAGCCAGAAAATCATGGAATACTTCAGGCTGGAAGGCACCTTAAAGCTCGGCTTGCTCCACCCCCCCCACCGTGGGCAGGGACACCTTCTGCTATCCCAGCTTGCTCCAGCCTGGCCTTGGCCACTTCCAGGGATGGAGCAGCCACAGTTTCCCTGAGCTTGTAACACTCTGTGTGCCTTCCCAGGGCTGGGAAAACTTCAGCTAAAAGGGACAAGGGTGGATTTCTGCCACAAGCTCCTTCTGGGAGACCCTGCTCTGGGCTTTCTGTTCACACCCTTGCCTTGCCTGTGCTGCCTTCCCTCTTTTCCCAGGGTGGATGCTCAGCCTCTGGCAGAGCTGCTGGCAACTCCTGCAGCTGCCTTTGCTCCAGGAGGGAGGTCCCTGCAGTTCCCTCCAGACTTTGAAGCCTCCAAGCAGTTTCCTGTTTGCTTGTGCTTAAAATGAGGGGCCGGAGCACAACTTGGGGCTCTGAAAGCTGAAGACACACAAGCTTCCCCCCAGGCTCTGAGACTGTGATGGAAGGGGCTGAAGTTCCCTCTAAAAGCAGCTGAGGGATTTTGGAACAAGCTTAGGGGGGACTCTGAACACCTCAGGACCCTGGGGAAGGCACCAGCTCAGTGTTTTTCTCACTCACCAGCCCACATTCATTGAAGGCCAAGTTCTCATCAGTCAGTTTGACCCCTCCAGGTCCCAGGAGCTCAAAGGGCAGCCAGTCATCTCTGAGTGCTTCCCTCACAAAGCTGTAGAGCACAGACACTGCTTCCCGGGCATAAAAAGTCCCTGCCATGAGAAAAACGAGGTGAGGGAGTCCGGCCTTTCCCAAAAATCCAACCTTTTGGTGGCCCCTTTCGTGGGGCTCTGACTTTCTCAACTACTTCAGTGCCACACAGCCAGGCTGATGGAACTGGAAAGGCCTCAAAGCAGAGTGCCCAGAGGAAGTGATTCAATCATTGCAAGCCCCTGCCAGGCTGTGACAAAGAGCTGGGAAAGCCTGAAGTGATTTCCAGAGTTCTGCTGGAAGACTGGAAGAGGATTTGTGCTGTTGTACAACCTCGTGCTGGTTCCTGTGACACACTGGTCTAATGAGTCCAGCTTGTTCCCAGAGGTTTTGGGAAGAGGAGGCTTTTTAATGAATGATGCCTTGGGATTCTTCTCAACCTTAAAATCCCAGCCCTGAGCAGGTGATGGAGATGGGAATTCTTGGAGAAAACACCCCGCTCTGGTTTGGTGTTTTATTCCACGAGCTGTGTTAATATTCAGGTTTTTATCCCTCAAGCACCCTCAGGAGGTGCCCGAAGAAAGGGTGAGGAGCCTTTTTCTTACCTTGGAGGATGTATCCGTCGGGAAAGCGCACCCGGAGCAGGGTGTAGTTGTACTTCCTCATCTCCCTCTGCTCCTCCTTCTCCCTCATGGCTCTTGTCCTCAGCATGGACGCCTTCTCCACTGCCTCTGTCCTGCGGGGAGAGACCCTTTCAGGCACCAGGGACGGGGACAAACCGGGATAACAGGGACTGGCTGGCACCCCCTGGCCCCTCCTGCTGCTCCAGGCCCTCAGGAGAGGGACAAACCCCCTCTGGCATCCCCTGGCCTTTCTTCCCAGTCCAGCCCCTCAGGATGAACCCTTCCAGGCAGAAAGGACAGGGACAACCCCCTGGCTGGCACCCCCTGACCCCTCCTGCTGCTTCAGCCCCTCAGGAGAAGGACAACACCTGACTGGCATTCTCTGACCCCTCCTGCTGCTCCAGGCCCTCAGGACAAACCCTTCCAGGCAGGAAGGACAGGGACAAACCCCTGGCTGGCACCCCCTGACCCCTCCTGCTGCTTCAGCCCCTCAGGAGATGGAAAAAGCCTGGCTGGCACCTCCTGGTCTTCCTTGCTGCTCCAGCCCCTCAGGATAAACCCTTCCAGGCAGGAAGGAGAGGGACAAACCCCTGGCTGGCACCGCCTGACCCCTCCTGCTGCTCCAGCCCCTCAGGACAAACCCTTCCAGCCCCTCAGGAGAGGGACAAAGCCTGGCTGGCCTTTCCCCCTGGCCTTTCCTCCTGCTCCAGCCCCTCAGGATAAACCCTTCCAGCCCCTCAGGAGAAGGACAAAGCCTGGCTGGCACTCCCTGACCCCTCCTGCTGCTCCAGCCCCTCAGGACAAACCCTTCCAGGCAGGAAGGACAAACCCAGGACTAGACCAATGCCACGGTCTGTGTGACAGGGTGGTGCTGGGTCATGAGTTGGACTGGATGATCTGAGAGGTCTTTTCCAACCTGGGTGATTGTGTGATTCTGTGATTCTGTGGGACAAACCCCTGGCTGGCACCCCCTGACCCCTCCTCCCGGTCCAGCCCCTCAGGAGAGGGACAAACCCTTGATTGGCATCCTCTGACCCCTCCTGCTGCTCCAGCCCCTCAGGAGAGGGACAAACCCTTCCAACCCCTCAGGATAAGCCCTTCCAGCCCCTCACGACAAACTCTTCCAGCCCCTCACGACAAACTCTTCCAGCCCCTCAGGAGAGGGAGAACCCCTGGCCTCTCGTGCCGGAGCAGCCCCTCAGGCCGGAGCCTCTGTTCCCCTCCCCGGAGCCTCCGTTCCCTCCCCGCAGCCGTTCCCTGTTCCCTCCCCACAGCCTCCATTCCCTCCCCACAGCCGCCCTTCCCTCCCCACAGCCTCCATTCCCTCCCCACAGCCGC